TGTACAGGAGGATTATATTATACACACACAAGAGGTGGCAGTAAACTTTTAATGACAAGAAAAATTGGCATTATGATATTCTAACTAAAAGTACTTGCCATTTTACATTTACCATAACCAGCTATTAACATTAGGGATTTGTGCAAAATCTAGTGGGTTTTTTTAAATGCAGATCTAGGCCACAAAAATTAGCACAGACAGCCACACAAACCATCTTTTTTGTGTCTTGGTTTTTTTTTTTTTTGGAAGGGGAGTAGTTTCTTGGTTAGAACCTCTACGACCATTGCCCTACACAAAAACTAATAAGTTTAGCAATTATACTGTAATGTTCTCTTGTGGTCCCCATAAATAGTACTAAAACCTTAATATTGAGTATATCAATACAACAAATTTTGGGGGGGGACTATGCTATACATTATATATATATATATATATATATATATATATATATATATATATATATATACAGTGGGGATCGAAAGTTTGGGCACCCCAGCTAAAAATTTGTATTAATGTGCATAAAGAAGCCAAGGAAAGATGGAAAAATCTCCAAAAGGCATCAAATTACAGCTTAGACATTCTTATAATATGTCAACAAAAACTAGATTTTATTTCCATCATTTACACTTTCAAAATAACAGAAAACAAAAAAATGGCGTTTGCAAATGTTTGGGCACCCTGCAGAATTTATAGCATGCACTGCCCCGTTTGCAAAGCTGAGACCTGCCAGTGTCATGGATTGTTCTCAATCATCGTCTGGGAAGACCAGGTGATGTCAATCTCAAAGGTTTTAAATGCCCAGACTCATCTGACCTTGCCCCAACAATCAGCACCATGGGTTCTTCTAAGCAATTGTCTAGAAAACTGAAACTGAAAATAGTTGACGCTCACAAAGCTGGAGAAGGCTATAAGAAGATAGCAAAGCGTTTTCAGATGTCAATATCCTCTGTTCGGAATGTAATTAAGAAATGGCAGTCATCAGGAACAGTGGAAGTTAAAGCAAGATCTGGAAGACCAAGAAAAATATCAGACAGAACAGCTCACAGGATTGTGAGAAAAACAATTCAAAACCCACGTTTGACTGCACGATCCCTCCAGAAAGATCTAGCAGACACTGGAGTTGTGGTACACTATTCCACTATAAAGAGATACTTGTACAAATATGGTCTTCATGGAAGAGTCATCAGAAGAAAACCTCTTCTATGTCCTCACCACAAAAATCATCGTTTGAACTTTGCAAATAAACATATAGACAAGCCTGATGCATTTTGGAAACAAGTTCTGTGGACCGATGAGGTTAAAATTGAACTTTTTGGCCGGAATGAGCAAAGGTACGTTTGGAGAAGAAGGGGCACAGAATTTAATGAAAAGAACCTCTGTCCAACTGTTAAGCATGGGGTTGGATCAATCATGCTTTGGGGTTGTGTTGCATCCAGTGGCACAGGGAACATCTCACGAGTAGAAGGAAAAATGGATTCAATAAAATTTCAGCAAATTTTTGATGGTAACTTGATGCCATCTGTGAAAAAGCTGAAGTTAAAGAGAGGATGGCTTCTACAAATGGATAATGATCCTAAACACACCTCGAAATCCACGTGGGATTACATCAAGAGGTGTAAACTGAAGGTTTTGCCATGGCCTTCACAATCTCTTGACCTCAACATAATTGAAAATCTATGGATAGACCTTAAAAGAGCAGTGCGTGACAGACAGCCCAGAAATCTCAAAGAACTGGAAGACTTTTGTAAGGAAGAATGGGCAAAGATACCTAAAAAAGAATTGAAAGACTCTTGGCTGGCTACAAAAAGCGTTTACAAGCTGTGATACTTGCAAAGGGGGCAGTACAAGATATTAACTCTGCAGGGTGCCCGAACTTTTGCAGGCGCCATTTTTTTGTTTTCGGTTATTTTGAAAGTGTAAATGATGGAAATAAAATCTAACTTTTGTTGACATATTATAAGAATGTCTAATCTGTAATTTGATGCCTGTTGGAGATTTTTCCATCTTTCCTTGGCTTCTTTATGCACATTAATACAAATGTTTAGCTGGGGTGCCCAAACTTTCGATCCCCACTGTGTATATATATATATATATATATATATATATATATATATATAATCTCCTCATAAACAGTTTTATTTACAATTTGTATAAAACTTTGTGTCCGTAAAATATTATAAAATGCTGTGCATCACATAGAAGAATGCATAACGTTCCTATCGTAGTGAGCGTGGCTCACTGTATAGGCACACAATATAATTAAAATATTTGGTGTTTGGTGGTAGGCACTATGATGGGAATTTTATGTTAACTTCTATATGATGCATGGAATTTTATAACCTTTTAAAATGATTTTCTTGATATGATACCTGTTGTTTGATCAGTTCTAGAAAATTGTTACTTAAAGTGACACTAAAGCTTAATTTTATTTTATTTTTTTAATAACAAACATGTCTATACTTACCTGCTCTGTGAAATGGTTTTGAACAGAGCATCCCAGATCCTCTTCCTTCTGGGTCCCCGCCGGCTCTCTCAGCTCCTCTCTGCCAATGAACACCGCTGCATGTTCTTTAAGACACATAGAGCCATGGCTCAGCCCTGCGCCCTGCTCTCTCCTCATTGGCCACACTGGCTGTGATTAACAGCAAAAGGAGCCAATGGGCTCCCGCTGCTGTCTCAGCCAATGAAGAGGAAGAGTCCCCAGACAGCAGAGGCTGTCAAGAATGTCGCTGGATCGGAGGGGGCTTAGGTAAGGATTGGGGGGAGGGCCGCTGCACATGGAAGGTTTTTTACCTCCATGTATAGAATACATGAAGGTAAAAAACCTTCAGCCTTTACAACCGCTTTAGCGTTACTTAAAGTGGTGTTTCAGCTGAAAAAAAAAAAGGTCAGCAGCTACAAAAACTGTAGCTGCTGACTTTTAAAATACAGACACTTACCTGTCCCTCGGTCCAGCGGTGTCCTCACCACGGCTTGTTTCACTGGCCGTCTTCTCTCCCCGGCATCTTCAGTGTGGGCACCCGGCTGTTACAGCTTACGGCTTCACAGCCAGATGCCCACTGTGCATGCGCAAGAAGCGCTGCACTTTGTGAATGGCCCCGTAGTCTTCTGGGACCTTGCATGTGTCCCAGAAGACTATGGGGAGGGAGGGGGGAGGACAACTTCCGCTTCCGATCACTTTAGGCGATTGCAGCAGGTACCTTTCAAATTCGGGTACCCGCTCGCCAAAGGTGCCAATCCTTAATGGGGAGCGGGGGTCAAAGGCTTAAAGCGAAAACTTCCCCTTTTGGGTGGAGCTCCACTTTAAGTAAATTGTTATAGTCTAAAAAAAAACAGATAAAGCACCATTAGAGAAGCCCAAGAAGAAAAACAAGCCTCGTATTGTAGAACAACTTTGCATATTATCTTCCATGTTACATTAAAGGTCATGTGGAGAACATTGTCTTGGAACATATTAGAGATAAAACTGCTTAGTTCTCTGCAAAGGAATAATCTGGCATAATAGAAGGTAACTTTTGCAATAAATAATTCTTGGTTTGAATGTATAACACAATGTAGAGGTCATGCCATTAATTGTGGGCACATCATTTTATGCTAGGGAGCCAGGGTTACTATTGTGTGCACTAGCCTGAGAATAAGTAGGATACAGTAAAATTTGCAAGACTTTATACACAAATCTCAAGACATCTGCTAACAGATAATAACAAATGTAAAAGTAAGAGTTACATAAAAATGAAGGACTTCTTGCTTATATTTCAATTATTTTCTATCTCTCTTATAGCATTACAGCTGACAGACACAGCAGCTGATTTGTTGACTGCTATTGCTGATCTCTCCTACAGCGCTAGTTGCTTGACTGTAAGGATGAGTCAGTGGATTCCTAACTTTTTTAATCACTGATTTGAAACAAGTATGAACATCAGGAGTTTTGAATTCCTTCTTACTTCTTTCCTGCTTACTTGCTCCAGGACAGTGACCCAGAAAGTACTGAAGCCAAAGACAGCCAGATAACTAAAATGTTCATGTTTCCTTTTAATAAATGATAAGGGAGAGGAGCCACTGGGGCTATCCTCACTGCATGTATCACTTGCTTAAAAGATTGTTAAAGTGGAACTTTTCTCTAAATCAACACTGATTATTTTTAATCCTTATGCTGCTAGCATAGTATATAGATAGGAATGTATATCATATTTACTTTTTTTAAAACGATTTTATTTATGTTTATTCATTTACTTCCTGGTTTCTTGCCTAGGCAAATTATGTCATACATCTCAGGAGTCTTCCGGAGGGGAGGATGGATTTTCATAGCTAAACACGCCTTCCTGCTTGTATGCCTGAACCTAAGGGCAGATAAATTCCAGGAAGTCAATGCTGCATGAATCATCTGCCCTTACTGCCACATCCAGAAATGCTAGGGGATGTTCTTCAAAGTGGTTTCTCAGTAAAATAAAGCATGGGGACAAATGGATGGGGGAGTTTGCTCTGAATATTAAAAATGAATTAAATAGCATTTTTGCATTGTGGTGCTCTGATACAGTGTAGTTCCACTTTAACCACTTGCCTACCAGGCACTTATACCCCTTTATTTTTCAGGCCAATTTTCAGCTTTCAGCGCTGCCGCACTTTGATTGACAATTGCGCGCTCATGCAACATTGTAGCCATATGAAATTTTGATCATTTTTTTCTCACAAATAGAGCTTTCTTTTGGTGGTATTTAATCGCCACTGGGCGCTTTACTTTTTGCGCTATAAATAAAAAAAATTGCAAAAAATGTGAAAAAAAAAAAGTTTCTTTGTTTCTATTATAAAATTTTTCAAACAGGTAATTTTTCTCCTTCACTGATGTGCGTTGATGAGGCAGCACTGATGGGCACTGATAGGCGGCACTGATGGGCACTGATAGGCAGCACTAATGAGGTGGCACGGATAGGCGGCACTGATAGACAGCACTAATGAGGTGTCACAGATAGGCGGCACTAATATGCAGCACTGATAGGCGGCACTGATAGGTGACACTGATGATGGGTACTGATAGACGGCACTGACTGGCATCAATGCTGGGCACTGACTGGCACAACCGGCACAACCGCTGGGCACTGACTGGTGGCACTGACTGGCAGCACTGCTGGGCTGCACTGGTGGGTGGCACTGGTGGGGGTGGGCACAGGTGGGGTGGGCACAGGTGGGGGCACAGGTGGGTGGCACTGCTGGGCACAGGTAGGTGGCACTTCTGGGCACAGGTGTGTGACACTGCAGAGTGGCACAGGTGGGTGCACTGCTGGGCACAGGTGGGTGCACTGCTGGGCACAGGTGGGTGATCTGCTGGGCACAGGTGGGCGGAGCTAGTGGGCGCACTGCTGGGCACAGGTGGGCGGAACTTGCGGGTGGGACTGCTGGGCACCGATCATCAGGGCACTGATCATCAGTGCCCTGATGATCGGTGCCGATCCTCGCTCTGACAACTGCCGATTCTCGGCAGTACTTTCCTCACGATCTGACAGCATGAGGAAAGTGCAGCCGAGAACCGGCACTTGCATTTCCCTCTGATCAGCGTGTCATTGGACACCGCTGATCACGTGGTAAAAGGCCGCTGTGATTGGCCTTTTACCACATCACGTGATCAGCTGTGTCCGTAGGACACAGCGATCACGGAGATCGCCGGGTGCGCGCCCCCTGGGGAGCGCAGGAGAGTGCGTTCTGGGAGGACGTCATATGACGTCCACTCAGAACTGGCCGGCCGCAGTGCAGCCGTCATTCGGCTATCTGCGGTCGGCTACTAGTTAATGGTTTCTGCTACACTGATAGAATTTTGTCAGTGACTGTGTTAGAAATTCTGTATATAGCTCTACAGAACAGACAGTGCACAGTCCACAAGTGTTTATCTGCTGCTTTACTGCAAACAGGTGTAGCCCTACCCCCTTAGGAGTTGCTAGAAGATTTGGGTCCCCCTATAGTTCTGCACAGCCAGGCATCACACATTTTCACAAAAGCTTGTATCCAAAGTCAGAAATAAGTCCTTGAGCTTTGGGTTTGTTTTTTTATTTAGGTGTTTTGAACTGGGATAGGGATAGGGGCGTAAAGGATGCCCAAAGGTACTAATAAACTGATGATAACTTCTTGGAACTATTTAGAAGCCTTCTCTGCAGCACAGCCATTGTTGGAGAGATAGCCAGCGTTTCCTTAATGTACCGTCCCTGACCCTAGATGAACTTCTATTCACCCAGCAATCTGGAGGTATCCTTGGATGTTCCTGTCAGTTTAAAGGATGAACAGTCACTAGTAGGTGGTTAATCTGGTTTCCCACCAGAGTGCTCCTTTCCCTATCCACCCAGGGAGTGCAGGTGTACTCAATCAGATCCTCTCCTGAAATGCTGGTGGGTTGGTGGCTGCTACCAGACCTATCAACTGGTGGTCCTCTCTTAGGGGGCTGGTGAGCTCTGAGCTTACCTCCTTTTTCAGCTTTAGGCCTGCAGGTAGGCCCCATCCCACTGGACCTCCTTGCAGCCTCCTTCCTTCAGCCTCACCTCTTCCTCTCTATCTTCCACCCAAACTCATCTGCCACTGAGCAACTGAGTTCCACCAGGTTTTAGCTAAAATAAACCCTAGCCGTATGCCATGTGTGTGTGTGAATGTAGTTTGAATTGATGTTATGTGTAGGATAGAAGTTAAAGTAGCCAGCCTTTGTTCATTACAACATGAAGCTCCCCACTGGACTGTTATATTTGTGTATATATTGTGAGGCACTGGCTAGATTGTCAACATGTGTATGTGTCACCTAAGTTTCTCCTCTACACAGAATGAGGCACTTTTGGGTTTGTTACTGAAACAAAACTAACTTTTTGTTTCCATAGAATCTGAAGTCCTTGTCCTGGTCCTGGTCCCAGAGAGCTTTGGGTAGGATAAGGTGGGAGCTTTAGGTTCACATTTTCCTGGTAAGCAGACCTTGTGATAACTCTGACCTGTGCACAGACCTTACTATAGATATGGAGCTGACTGATGCTAAGGGCTTTCACTTTCTCTGCCGTGGGAACATGCTGCTTTGTAAAAATATTGTCTGCTGACAGAATTCTAAAAGTGCTGCTTCACAGAGCCCATTAGAGGACATGGTGTTAGGCAGGAAATTACCTGAGTTTAGTTAGTGGTTTGGATAAGCAGATTTTTCTTTTGTTTTATGCTATGAATTTGCTGTACAAATCCCTCCTGCATTGAAACTAAGTTTTGTTTACTGCCTTGCTGATTAAAAGTATGGGACAAACCTGCTTGGACTGTTCCTGTGTCTCCCTGTCTTGTGCATAGTTTACTGCTGCCAATACTAGCTGAGCCTGTTAACTTTAAAAGTTGGTGCTCAGATGCGGGCAGCACCTTAGAAACAGACACCTCTTGTTGAACCATATACAGGATCTTGTAAAACAGCTTATATTGGCAAATGCTAAACAACAATAGTGCAGTGTTGCTCAACAGTAGACCAATTAGCTACTGCTAGAGTCAAACCACTTAACCACTCAACAATGTGACATCTGAATGAAACCCACCAGGCCTCCTTAGAGGGACAACCACAAGTAAAACTGTGTCTACAGCAGCAGATACAAGGCCTGTCAGAGAAGCAGAAGATGGCAAAGGGGCAGATGTCTGCGCCTCAACCGCTGGTGCAGAGTGCATTATGGAAAATGTCCTTGGAGGATGATGTTGAAGCCTACCTGATCATTTTTGAGAGAGCTGCTGACTGTGAGAAGACACCCAAGAAGCAGTGAGCTTATATGCTAGCTCTTTTTTAACAGTGGACCTCAAAAGGCCTACTTTGAGTATGGTATACTGTTTGGATGCCTAAAGCTGTAAGTCAAAGAAGAAATCCTAGCCAGGCTGTGGGTTACGATAAAAACATATGGGAATATGACACAGGGAAGTCTGTGAGGTCCCAGATGTGTGATTTGAGCTGGTGCCCATTGTGGAGCAATACACTGCTACCAAGGACTAATCCCAAAACCTGGCCTCCAATCTGGTAACCCCTGTAAACAGGAAAACATCAACTTTGGTTTAAGCCATTCCTTTTTATCCAGAGTAAACTAGCTGTTAAGGAGGGTGAGTTAGACACCCATAGGCACCAGATTTGAACAGCCTCCTAACCCAAAAGGAGTCTCTTTCTTGGAAAAGACAATGCTTATTAGGTGCTGAGGGTGCCAATGACTGGGATCCTATGGAATCATGTGACCTTTGAAACATATTTCACTATTTGCCATGCGTGTTCTCGTAGGATACCTAGGAACTGAGACTGAAAGACAAATCTGTCCTTTACAATAAAAAGACACCCAGTGGTGGCATTATTCAACTGTGGAAGCCTTGTTATATTGGTCCATGCCAGTCTAGTGGACTCTTAGCTTGGTTCAGACTAAATTTAGTATACATGGAGATACTAAAGACTACCCTACTGCAGTGCTCACCCAGTGCAACCGTAAAGCATGTCATAAGTGTGGTTAAGAACCTGCTGCACAGTGTAATACTAAGCTGCGATTTACCTCTCTTTTGGGAACTGTAGGGGAAAACAGCTAACCAGTCCTGAAAAGAATATGTGAAATAAATGATGTTACTATTTTGCCTGAACTTGAACTTGAGGGAAATGTAGCCACCCTTGAATTGGTAGTATACAGCATGACAATTTCCCACTAGTAGCTATAGTTGAGGAGTCAGAATAAACTCCCAGTGCCAAAAATAACAGATATACTGTTAGTCAGGGGAGATTTTTGGGACTATGCATTTGCAGAATCCCATTATGGTAGATGCAAAGAAAAAAAGGGGAGTTACTCAAGAACAAGAAGTTAGTCTGGCATACCCCCCCCCCCCCCCCCCATTTTCAGCATGCCATGACTTACTATATTGTGTAAAAAATGAATGAGAGCAATTTGTGGAGTAGCTGGTGGTTCCTCAGTCTCACACAAGTATAGTGTTGGATCTGGCCCATGGCCAAGTGTTCAGTGGTTATTTAGGTGTTAAAAAAACAAATGAGTAGCTTGAGCAGTGTTTTTTTTGAGTACCACAGTCTTTCACAAGGTTTTTTTCCAATTTGAAATTTTATTTGGTAAACAGCCCTGGGAACTCATTAATATAGCCTGGAAAACATGGGAACAGGAGACCACACATTACAAATGTGTTATCAAATGCATCATTTCGATGTAAGATAAGACAGTGATGACAATAGTTCAGGAACATATGAATTTAGCCCAGGAAGCACAGCACAGTGTTTATAACCAGCCTGCTAAAATCAGAGCCTTTACTCCAGGAGACAGTCTTAGCTTTGGTGGCTGCTTTACAAGGTAAATTTCTGGCAAAGTAGTAGGGCTCCTATGAGACCAGAGTGAAAATCATCTAAGTTGATATACCAGCCCGAAGAGAATGTCCTTCTAAATATAACTTGTTAACCTAATAAAATACTGGAAGAATTGTGAAGCTCTTTCAGCAGAATCAATCCCAAATTATCACCAAGGAGAGGGACAGCAGAGGTTAGGATGCCAGAGACCCTGTTTGCTACTTAGATTCCGAAGGTGAATTAATTCTTACAGAAAAATCGAGAAATGTTTTCAGAATGACCTAGCTGATTTAACATAATTTACTATGATATTGTAACTGAGCTTCATGTCAAAGTTAAGTAACTTGTCAGAAGTTTTGAGGAAAACCATTTCAGCAGAGGTCCTGAGAATACGTCATAGAAAAAATCTAAAAAGCGAGTGTTCAAATCCCATGGTGCTCATGCCTAAGCCAGATAGCAGCATAAGGTTCTGCAACAACTTCCGGAAACTAAATAAATCTACAGATTTCTTGCTTATCTCATGCCCTGGGTAAAAGAGTTGATAGAAAGGTTGTGTCCCTCTAGGTACATTATCACATTTTGTCTTACTAAAGAGTATTGGCAGGTTCTCTTACCAGACAGGGCACAAGAAAGGACAGCTTTTGTGAATCCCGATGGTCTGTACCAGTATTGGTTCTACCTTTTGACTTACATGGGACCCTAACCTCCTTCCAAATAATGATGAACTGTATTCTTAAGCACCAAAAAACATACGTTTTGATATATCTAGATGATGTAATTTTTAGTCTTGGCTGGGATCCCCACCTACAGAAGGTCCAGGCAGTTTTACATTTCATTCATAAGGCTAGTTAATAGCCAATTTAAAGAAATGCACATCAGGCCTGGAAGAGCTTGATATGTGACCAATAGTATTATAGAGGGGATCATAAAGCCTATAATGGACAAGAATGAAGCAATTAAATGTTGGTTCCAGCCAGTGTGAAAAAAAACAGCTTAGAGCCTTTCTAGGGATTGTAGGGTACTACTGGAAGTTTTCTGCCTACTTTTGCTACTATAGCAGTTCCAATTATTGATCTCACCAAGGGGAGTATGTCCACCAGAATGAAATGGAATAAAGCGGCAGAGACAGCTTTTCAGTAGCAGAAGGCAGTATAATGTTACCAACCCAATTTCAGTCAATACTTTCTTGTATAAACAGATGCTTATTGTGACGGACGTGGGATCGCTGTCACCA